TGAATATATTGCAAGTTCAGATCTGTTGACGTGAGTCATTGTTCACGTTCTACCATGTGTTTGTCCCCTTTTTTGGGTTTAGGTTCCCGGGGTTATCTAGTACTGTCTTTTTTAATTGGGTTTGGCTCTGTTTCAATTGCATTGGATTTTAGTTACATGGCATATTAACCACTTTACGTTGTGATGCAGATTTTTCTTGTGGAGCAAATGACTGAAGGATTCTGTTTATGTCTATTGACTATAGTTATGCATTATAGCTGCAATTTTCAAGGACTGTAATGGTGTCAATGAATTTTAAATTTTAATTGAATCTGTAAGGGTTGGTTTCTCGGAGTTTCGGAATTGGACAAGATTTTGAAAATGATTGTGAGGAAAAGCGTCGGACGGGTCAAGTCACTGCTTTTTCTGCTTACGGTGCTTCTGTTTTTCTTTGCCACTTACAATTTGGTAGCTACGATCATGGAGCATAAGGCAGATGGATTGGAACATTCAAATAGAAAATTGATGAGGTCTAATGCAAAGTTTCATGTTGCCGTTACTGCAACCGATTCTGCTTACAATCAATGGCAATGCCGAATTATGTACTATTGGTATGAAAAAGTGAAGGAAATGCGTGGATCAGAAATGGGGAAGTTCACCCGGATACTACATTCTGGTAGGCCAGACCAGTTAATGGATGAGATTCCTACTTTTGTAGTTGATCCACTTCCTGAGGGCTTGGACAGGGTAAATATTTTTCTGTTTCCCAGTAGAATTGTATGTTTTTTGGCTCACCTAAACTTGTCTCTTTTTGGTGAATTTCTGACCTAATAACAAATTTACTAATCGTGACATACAGAATAAGCCTATTCCTTTCACAACTTTAATAGGTGGAAAAAAGGAGATGGTTGTCTGGCTATAGTAATATGTTTTAATTTGTTACAATTTAATTGTGAAATAAACTGTCTGAAAGAATTCAGAGAATGGTCGTAGTTCGGTACCTTGTTGAATGTTCTCCTGATCATACATAGAAGAATTTATTTTTTAAAGGGACTGAACTTGATGAAATGCAATGAGATATGTTTAGAGTGAAATTGGATTATGTCATGGTTTTTGTTTGAATATCTTGTATATTTCTTCTACTGATCATGCCTTATATTGTAGTAGTAATAATGATTGTTGCTAGTTTTTGGATTTGAAAAGTCATTTCCATTTTCTTGTTCTTGTGACTAAATTAATCTCATAATTGCTGATGGTGATGGACACTCAACTGCTTATATATCTAAGTGTGTTGCTCTGCTACTATTCAAGTTCTGATGCAAAAAAAATTATTGTGTAGTGGGGGCAACAGAAGCTGAAGTGCAGAAATATAATATCATAATATGCTGCTACTTTTTTTGAAAATTTATGGTATAATCACGTGTTCATAGTGAAATGTTGGAAGATAAATATATAATTTTTTAATGTGCATTTAAAGAAGAGTGTATATTTTGTGTAACCACATGTCATTGTATGTACCTTGGTGGGCTCTACATGTCATTATCCTTCCATACTGAATTGTTCCTGTCAAATAGTTAAGGCTTTTGCTCATGGAGAAAAAAGGGGAATATAGATGAGAGTTGCTAGTAACTGCTGCAGTTATTTTGCCTCCCTTTTCTCACTTTACTGTGCATCTTACTGTGTGATTATTCCAAATTGTCAATGCGTACTGGTAGTATATATTGATGTTTTTCAGCTGAGGAACACTCTTAGCTTAGATTAGTTTTTAAACTCACTAGTCACAGAAGGGTAGGTGCCCAAATTAGCTGCTTTTTAGCAATGAGTTTGGATAACCTAGATTAAGGTTCATATTTGATTGCAGGCATGATTGTCTAGTGGCAATTTGGTTGACTTGACATGTTCCAAGCCATAGATGATTATCAATTGTATCATGAATGCCAGTATTGTGGTCTTTCTATGTTTTTCCTATCAATTCATGCTGTCATAAAAAAATTGCATCCTTTTATTTTTGGTGCAGGGTTACATTGTCCTAAATAGACCATGGGCTTTCGTTCAGTGGCTGGAGAAAGCAGATATTCAGGAAGAGTAAGTGTCATAGTTATGGTTTTATACAATTTTTTTGCTCTCCAATAATGAAATCTAATTAGCAGTGCATTTTATGATTGGTGCAGATATATTCTGATGGCAGAGCCTGACCACATATTTGTAAATCCTTTGCCTAATTTGGCTTACGGATCCCAGCCTGCCGCTTTTCCATTTTTCTATATAAAACCAAATGAAAATGAAAAAGTACTTAGGAAATTCTATCCTGAGGAAAAGGGTCATGTCACTAATATTGATCCAATTGGCAATTCTCCTGTAATCATTAAGAAGGTAAAGTCTGAATTAATAGTTTACATGCTGTTATGGTTGTTGTTATTAGTTGCTACTCTGTTACCCTTATAGCTGTTATAGTTACTATTATAACTAATATCAGATTTTCTTGATTTTCCCATAAGCAACATATTCTTTCATTTAAGGCATTGAATTTTTTTCATCACCAGTCTTTGATGGAGGAAATAGCTCCCACTTGGGTAAATGTTTCATTGAGAATGAAAGATGATGCAGAGACTGATAAAGCTTTTGGATGGGTGCTTGAAATGTGAGTAATACTAGACAAATTCAAGATTTAGGGGCTTTATTTTCTTGTAGTTATCATTTACTTATATTCTTTTCATTTTATAAATTTTCCTGGACCTGCTCTAACATTATGCCCCTTTGATTCTCTGTTGAGTAAAGGTATGCTTATGCAGTCGCATCTGCGTTGCATGGTGTGAAGCATAATCTGCGAAAAGACTTTATGCTGCAGGTTTGAATTGCTTGTGTTGTGTTGTATTTGTTAGTTGAGGAAGTCATAAATAAGTCCATGACATGAATTGTTGGAATGTTTCAGCCACCTTGGGACGTACGTGTTGAGGATAGATTCATCATGCATTATACATATGGATGTGACTATAATTTGAAGGTGAGTTCTTTTCTCCTTTATGCAGTATGATGTGAAAGTAAGGTAGATAAACTATATTTCTAAGGTTAGTATTCCTTTGTGTTATGTCTTTCCATGTGAAAAATACAGTCTTGCATGCTTAATTGTTTTATGTGGAAGTTATTTACTCCTTATTTCTTCATCCAGGGGGAGCTGACATATGGGAAGATTGGTGAATGGCGTTTTGACAAGAGATCTTATCTTATGGGTCCTCCGCCAAGAAACCTCCCCTTACCACCTCAAGGAGTTCCTGAAAGTGTGGTAAGTCATGCTTCAAATTTCTGGGTGTTTTGTTTTGAAATTGTTAATCATAGCCAATGATGAAGAGCTGGTGTTGGAAAGTTGCTATTTTCCATTCAGTGTAAATTGTTATGCTCTTTCTTGATCTTAAGGTTTTGAAATAGGTAACATCACCTTAAGCAAGCAGGACAAGTTAAATTTGAGATTCCACTTAAGATGGGAAGAAGGATAAAAACCTGTTACTCAGAGACCATGCCATAAGATCCTACTTTCTTATTTTCTGACAAATATATACATATAAGCTAAAAGGTTTAGTATGTGGCTGGAGTTTGTGGTTTTGTATGTGTTTGATGGAGTTTTGATGTGATTTTATTTTATATTATCTGCTAAACCTTCATACTACTGGTGTTTTAAGCGAAGATAATAGTTACTGCAATAATTATTTTCAGGTGCGGCTTGTAAAAATGGTGAATGAAGCCACTGCAAACCTACCTGAATGGGAGTCATTAAACAAAAGTTAATGGAAAGATGAAAAACTTATTGTAATGCAGATGAGGACTAGAAATATAGATTAGCAAATAGGAATGGTGATGAATACAAATGAGGTTTTGTGTTTTCTCTGAAAATATAGTTTTGTTTTCAACAGCTTAATTCTTTTGCATTCAAACGTATACGAGACTTTTGCAATCTATTGCACTGTTGTAATTTTGCCAACTGAATGTTGTCACAGTGCAACCAATGGAGGAATTACATTTTATCTCGTGTTTTCCTTCCTTTTGAGGCATGAAACTATTGTTTTGCCTCCTCTTGCATTGTTTATTTTATGTAATACGTACGAGATTAATTGGTATCAAGTGCCATTTGTTTTTTACAAAATTTAGTACTATAAAATTTTATCATATAATAATGTTTTATTACAATAAAGATTTTAATATTGTTACCCAAACATAGGTCATATTATTAATGATAATTCATAATCTAATTTTACATATCAATTTGTTAAAATTATGTAAAACATAATGCATAATTACCACTTCCAAAAAATTATATTCTTCGGATTGTTCTGTCATCATACAAAATCAATACCAACGATGATGAGATTCATTCTAAATAGTACGAAAAAATAACGCAACCAAAATAGTAAATATAAATGAATTTGTTAATATGCTTTTTCATGTAACAAAATGCTTATAGGTCAGAAATCACGTCCTTAAATCATATTTTTGAAAAAAATAACATTATTATAATAAACATAAATATTTCTTATTTTTTCCATTTAACGTGTTCTTAATTTTTGTTATTCCCACAGTAAATATTATATTCACTTGTATTAAATAAATGTAGGTAAATTTAATAGGATAAACTGCTCATTTATATTATGAAATATTTTATCATTCTTTCGTACCTTCTTTTGCAAATACTGACCAATAACTAATGCACCACCTAAAGTAAGCTGCCTTGAAAAAACAGTAGATTACAATATGTCCGAAGCTGTAATAAATTGTTTCAAATTTGCCTTACGTTTTCAAATTCAAAGAAAATTTGAGCCAAACATAGAAAAGCTTTTTCTCAAGTATTTCAACTCTTCATTTTCTAATATTTTAAGCTCAAAAAAATAAATTCTAACAATCAATTAATTCTTATTTTAAACTTTGGGACTTCAAAATAATTTTACACAAAAATCCACTACCGAAGAAAAAAAGAGACATTCATAACAATCTACTTGTAAACTAGGCTACTTCTGAAACACAACAGCAGGAAATAAAAAGAGACAATAGAACTTTTACTTCAGGTAATGGACCAAGACATCCATAATCCATAATCCAAAATTCGAAAGGGATTATTTATTTTTAAGTTCGAGAAAACCCCGACTAGGTAAAAAGGAAGAAAGTAAATCGTACATCACTGGTTATGTAAAAACATAAAAGCCATAACAAGATGCAACCACTAAACACTTGTACTTACTCAAGCATGCTTCACAATGTCATTATCATATTCATATCCCATTATCCAGCTTAGAGGAGCGCTTCATACCTATCGATCTTTCCAACTAGTCTGAAGCTTTGACGAGTTAGAAACAAAAACGAGTAGAATCATGTATCACCGGCAGCTAGATAGTATCAATTCTTACAGGTGTAGAGAAGTGAACAAACCATAGTAGCATACCACCAATCCCAGAGGATACACACAAGCTCCAAGATGACTGTACTTTATTTATCACCCTCTATCCACCCTAAAGATGCATGTTTATCTTCATCCACCCGGACTTTAGAGCTCAGCAAATTCTACAACAATTTACAAGCAAATTATGCCAGAGTAGATTTGGCAGTTAACACAAAATGTCCAATCAACAGTTAAGAAGATACAGCTTTGATTCCTAAAAATCCCAACACAGTTTATGAAGATAGTAATAGAGGCTAACCTAAATCAGACGCAAGACAACTAGACACATAAGATGGGAATTTGAAAAAATCAGAGGAAGGGGATATGTTTCATACAGATTATCCAAATTTCAATGTGTTTAGGCCACCTTTATGTAACCACAAAAGAATAATTTGGTACCCACCTTTTGTAGTAGCAACCTCTCGCAAAATGTCTAGGCCAGATAAACTCCAACATTCAACGACAACGAAGTAGAGCTGGAGTTTGACGGGGTAGCAAAGGGATGCAGCACATTTAATAATCCTTCAAGGACCTATTGATGTTAGCAAACCAAGTGATTAAACAAAAAGACACCCTTCAAACAATAAATATAGATCTTCACATATCGAATCCATTTAAAAGAGAAAAAATCCAATCCAATGGCTTAGGTTTTCTTGATTTATCATCCAATTGACTTGATTTAAAATTTAAATTCAATCCCTTTCAGTTTGGAATTAATGAGTTTTTGTTTTTTTTAAACAGTAAACATGCATAAGCTGTATAAGGTTTGAATTTAATCAGTTTTCAAAATCTAACCCATTCCAATAAAAAAAAAAGTCATTTTTTTTATTTCAGTTCTTTTTTTGGTTTAGCAGGTCTCCAATTTTTGGGGTTGGTTATAAATAAACCCTGGCAATAAAAACAAATGTGAAGCATACCACCCATATTCTCATACTGAGGAGCGACATCACACGAAGTGTTGACCTGTCCATATTGATTGTCCTTGGAATTGCTCAGGCAGAGGAGTAAGATGCTGATTTCCATTTGTGAGAACCTGTGGCTGCAACTGCTGATTTTGGTGTGCTTTTAAAAGCTCAAATGTCCGATGATCATGCCAGCCATTCTGTTTCTCCACCTGCAGAGACGGAATTTGTTTTCCAGTATGGGAAAAACTGACTACCCCATTCAAACCATTGTTACCAACTTGATGCGAATTTGACTGAGAGCAAATAAGAGGACCATTTGGACCTAAACCTTTGGTTGATAAAGGCAACTGATATCCATCCAACCAACTGTAATCATCCATAATTGAATTTCCACTAATTGAATCTGGACCAGTGGGTTCAATATCTTGTTTAAGAGAAACATGACTGAATCCAGGAGGAGGTCCAAGGTGCCTAGAAGGTCGACTGATAGGAGATTTTTTCAAACCAGCTTGCATGGTGGATGGCGTTCTCACAACAGAGTTATCAGTAAGTGTTCCAGTAGACGCATTGGCATCGACTTTGAATGAATTTCCGAAGTCACCAGCTTTTGAGAGATCATGAGCATAAAGCATACTAGCACCAGCACTTACAGATTGCTGGGTGGGAACTGCAAGTGCAGGACGGTCAGAGATTGGGACAGCTTCTTTAAATGGTTGGTTAGGTTTCATCATGTGCCCATTCTCCAAGAATCTAAGACCTTTCAAACTGTCAGCAAGAGATATTTCCTCCTCTAACCACCTCAAAGAATGTGGTTGAACTGGAAGTAGGCGTTGAGGAACCATTGCATTGACAGAAGCAGGTAAAGAATTTTGATAAATTGCATCACTGAGAGGGTTAGAAGTAGAATTTTCATTAAATTTCATATCCCCTACAGAAGCTGTTGGAACTGATTCTAAGCCTTCATGGGGTGCCCATGATGAGGCAACCACCATATCAGCTTGTTTCTCAGATACTATAGGCTTGAAAACAATAACCTCATCATCGTCCTCTCCTTCAATATAATGATGGTAATCTGCACTAGGTGTACCAGAAAGGGAGGAAATAACAAAATCATCTGAGATTTGAGGCTGAACACCAACAACAAATTTCTTTCGCTTTGAGTCAAAATATATCATTTTCTGATCAACCCTAACAACATTTGCTAAAGCCTTCCCTGCAGCTAAAATCCTTTGAATCCGACCTTTTCTTTCCTTTTCACCATCACTTCCAAGGGAATTCTTCCTTGAAAAATCCAAGATGGTTTGTGCAGGGAGAAGTGGAACAAATCCTCTTAACTCAAAATCCTCCCACAAAGCAAGCCGATTTTCCGTTTCCCCTTCTTTATACCTGCTCATGTTGTTAAAGCAAGTTTCTTCATCATCATCTTCTGTCATGGGCACAAGTGAAAGTAACTTGTTCAAGAAGGATAGACAATGATTCCAAAATTTTGATCTAATAGTTGTCACATTATCTTCGTCCTTGCTTTCAGCAATATCTGGATAACATGCCAACCACTCAACAAAAACCAAAATACCTGATAAAAGATAACTGGAAGAAGGATCCTGCAGCTGCATACATTTCTCTACTACTAAACTCATCAATTCGAAAGCTGCAGTGAATGCATTCTGAAGTAGAACAGCACGCTGTAGAATTTCTGCATATGTTTGACCTTCAGATTCCTTTTTCACATTATGAACTGTAAATATGATCATGGAAACAATTCTGACAATAACCAGTTTGTTCACAAGAGTATCTAAGCCAAATTTCAGCTCTTCATCTTGTCCTGGTAATAGAAGTTCATGCAGGCCAGCACTAACAAGAGATAGAACTTCAGCAAAGGTCTCAAGGCTATCATCATGACATAAGAAAAAAAGAAAAGTCAGTATAATTTTTCTCAATGGTATTGTGCACAAAATCGTGAGGTAGATTGTGTGCATTAATAATATGTACCTTGTTCGCGTGAATAAGATTCCATTAAGACGGACAAGGCATGTGCAGAAAGATTTGTAAGTTTCCTGTATATTGGATGCTCCTTCCTTTCTAGGGCAGGTTTCCACACCAGTATCCCGGGCCACAAGTTTTGCTTCCCCTTTTCCCATTCCATTGACTGCATGCTCTTTAACATCACCAGAGAGCTTAGAGTAACTTTGGCGATTCTATCATGGTATTGTAAAACAGATAGTTAGAATGCCAACAGCACTCCCAAAGTATGAAAATAAATAGATGATCAAGCTCAAGCTAATTCTTCACCCACAATCATGCCAAATAAACAGAACTCCTTTATGTGAAAAGGTATGCTGTGTTCCAGTTTTCAGTTCATGTCTGAACTGAATAAACAAAAATCAATGCTTGAACAACTTGCAAACCAATGTGAATTTAGGGCTATAAAAGAATGAACTGAACTAAACTAGTACTAAAACGAACAGTAACTAAAGAAACCAAACTGGTTTTTAGTTTAGTTCTTAAAAACTAAACAACACTTAAAGTGAATTATTCAAACTGAACTGTGACTCCTGAAATTGAAACATGCTTCAAAATAAGATGTATGCTCAAAACAGTTCAAATTCAAGGAGGTAAGAGTATATTGGTTAAGTTCAGTCAGTCTTAACCGTTACACAGTTCAGTGCAAGTTGCTTGAATAGTTATATGGTTCAGTGTAGTCAAACCACTATTATAGTTTAATTCAGTTCTTCATTTGTGTTGTTCAGTATTTGTATTTTGCTCATCCCTAGAGAAATTTACAACTTGTACTTTCAATGCATTCCGCTCTGACTACCAAACAGTATAAGTAGTAGAAAAGACAACTTGAAAACATCATTATTGTACTTTAGTTTGAAAGTAAACAAAAACACACCATATACATCTCAAAAAGTTGAGACTTGTAGACAAAAGAATGCAAGAATTTCAAAACCAACCCTACATTCATATTACCTTCTCAAATGCAAGTATCAAATTATCCCTGGCAGTTGAAAATGGACTATCCACAGCCAGACTCCGAAAATAACAATAAACAGTAGTCAGCTCATCCTCATTATATGAAGCCAACAAGGCAAGCTGAAAATAACAGACATGTCAAAATGGAATACAATAGCTATGAACCATGACTCAACAATAGATGTGAAGTTGCAAACAACCAAAAGCAAAACACAGCAGAGACAGGAATGCCAAAAACCTGATGATAGGGGTTTCCACTTGAAGGCCAAATAGTTGCAGCTTGTAGATAGTAACTAGAAGCTGCTGCATATTCACGCTTTTTTGAGTAGCCTCCACCATATAAGCCTTTGTAGCGAGCGAGATCACCCAAGTATATCAAACAACGGTGACAGGATATTAAACCTTTCTTCATATCAGAAGATTTCTTTTCATCCTTCCCCATTACAATTTTATTTTCAGAGTCCTCAAAGTAACCAAGTGGAAGTCCATACTTAGCTCTAATATTCATAATAAGATCATGGTAAAATCCAGTTGCTTCTGAAAGAAAAGTCTTAAATTGCAGCCTTATTTTAGTTATCCGGTCAGGTCGAACAGAACCTTTCCCTCCCAGAGATGATTTTGAGCTTACAGAAGTATGGGCAACATTAAAGTATGTCCTCAATTCCTCAATCCACTTATAGTGCAATTGCCACAGAGCATACTCAATGTTATGCTTCTCAGAAAAGGCATGATCCTCGAGAATTATTGCTTCATAATTCTCACGTATCTGTTGCCAAGCATTTGGATCTGATGGAACCTGTGCCTGAGCTGATCTCCTTCGTTTATTCTCCAATTCAAGGTTCTAAGTGAGAAAACATTGAAATTTTAAAAAAATAGCTTTGGACTCATCCCGTATAACAGAAAAAAGAAGTAAGCCTTGGCAAGAAAAATAATCTCTGGTTCTGCATTCTACATGGTTTTCCATGACAGGTGACAAGAACTTCTGGGTTGATTTGAGTTCTTAATTTTATTCAGTTACTTGACCTTCAAGAACCAGACAAGTGCTTACTAACCAGTGTGATACTGGATGCCAATTGCAAAAGCCCAGCTTAAATAAAAGGGCCAAAACACTACACAACAGTTCTTGGCTATGTAATATACACTACACAGTACTGATAACAAGGTCTATCGTTAGTTCCAAAACTAATTGAAACTAAAGATTTCAAACGAACATTGCAAAGTGGGGTTATCTTCCCATTAGAGGAAGAAGAATAACATCATTAATGAATCCCCAAACCTATAACATCTAAATAGCTCAATCAACAGAGGACACGTCCTCTAAACTGTAACTTCTATATGCAGATACATTATATGAGGATAGTGCTGTTAAGTTAATTAAGATCAGATTCCTTTAAATTTGGCAAATTTTGAGAGATTTACACAGATAATCCCTTCTTCAGTGATTACATGTGACACAATGACATTGTCTACTGGGTGAATAAATGAGAGACAGAGAGAGAAAGGAGTACCTTCTCATAAAGGCGATGGGCACGCTCCCAAGATGAAGGAGCAGACACTTTATCCATCTCTACTATATTGACAAAACTCAAGCTACATAAAACCTACAGATAAAAAATCAAATGAATAAACTCATTTCAAAGAATAGGGTTTCGTGTAACAGAGAAAGAAAAGAAAAAAATTTCACGGCTGTTGTGGCACCAAAAGCACTGATGATCAACAAAATAACTATGGTCTCCACACTATAAAAAAAAGTACCCATTAAAAGTGAAATCCAAAGCTAGGGTTCAATAAAACAAAATTAATACCAATTTCAGTCGTCAGCAGCTATACCCGTTAACAACCAGTGATAATAATTCCAAAACAAATCCCGGTTCAATTTACCACAACTCAGTGAAAGCTCTACTTCAAATACAAATTGAAGCCATCAAATTAACGTTGACCACATAACACGCACAATCAGACACCGAAATAAAGCGAGTGAATTCCGAAATCAGGTTTACTTATGGCTCTTACTGTAAGTGTTCTTGCACGAAATAAGTTAAATATTAAGAAACATACAAAATGCGAGAAAGGCACAACAACGATTCTAGTACTGAGAAACAAAATCAGATCCAAGAAATTCAATTCAACAATGATACATACTAGAGCGCGAATAGGTTAAAAAAGGAAGAGAGAAACGAAAGAGAAAAGTTTGAAAATATAATTAAAGAATTGGAAACCGTAAAAGTCACCTGCGGAGACGATCGAAAAATCGATCAGAACGGTAGTTGTGTTGCGTGCGTGAGAAGAGAGAGAAAGAGAGAAAGAGAGAGAGAGGGGGTAAGGCGTGGTTGAAGTGGTTGTTGGGTTGGAGGTCCTAAAGGGATAACGCGTATTTCTTTATTTCTTCTGGGTTTTAGTTTTCTTCATGCACCTGACGATTCTCTAACGACGTCGTTTATACAAATCATAACAACTTTGACCTCCCTCACATGTTCCTGATTTTTCATGATTCTTTTCTTTTAAAATTTTTCAAATTTTCAAAACATATTAATACTGTTTATCTAAAATATTAGCACTCCATAAATATTTTTTTAATATATTTTACCTATATATAAAGATATTTTCATATCTATTTTTAACTTTTACCTTTTAAATAAAAAAATATAAAATTAAAATAATTATTTTATTATTTAAGTAACCGAATTTATATATATATATATATATATATATATATATATATATAATATTGTTTTTGGATAATTTTATGTTTTCAGGTGTGGTTTTATTGAAAAAAATAATAATTTAAAAAAAAAACACTCAGTAGACATCTGTTAATGTCTAGTCCGATGTCTATAGACGTTTGTTAGTGCACACACAGAAGTCTAATGCATTATGGTACCAGAATTCGTTCTAAGTTATTAACGTCTGACCAGCTATTGTTCGACGTCTATATACCTGTTACAGTCTGACGTCTATATAGATGTTTGACATGTTGCTATCTGACGTCTATATAGACGTCTGACCTGTGTTGTCCGACATCCCATTAACGTCTCCTAGTAAGACATCGGGTCGAGATCAGACGTAAAAAACCCAAAATATCATACGTTAAAAGCTTTTTCTGCACTAGTGAAAATATATCTTAGCATCCTTATTTATAATATAACCATATAATAACTTACTTCTTAATATAATAATATTAAAATTTTAAATTATTGTTATTATATATTAATTAGTGAAAACACCTACATGTTGTAACATCCCAAAATACAGTAATAAACCATATAATAATAGTCACAGAAATAATAAAATAGAACAATTATAGACTATGATATAAAGTATAAACTTTACCGTCATCCAAAATAACCGTAGAATTTAAAACTTTAGATATAAAAGAGTATTATAAAACTATACACCAAAATAAACAACTTAACTAAACTAAACAGCAGCATCCTCGCCCTCCGAAGCCTGCTCTAGATGCACCTCATTTCCCTCTGCTCACATCCATCAAATGATCATTGCAAAAGGAAATCACCACACATACAAAAATACAAACACAAACATAAGGATAAGCTAGATATATAAGAAAACATACAGTTTAATAGCACACAACATACACAAGATAAATCAAGTAAAGTAACTAAATCAAACATCCTAGCATGTTATGTTTTAGACTTGACTTGTCCGGACTTAGAATGATTGTCGAGCTATGGTGGGTCATGCACATGTGGTGGACTCTACTGCTTTGCAAAGCCATTGTCAATGGGTTTCACCCTACCACACTCACGAGATTAGTCTATTCCGGACCTTAAGGCATACTAGAAGCCCCCAAGACTAAGACCTCCTACTACTCCTCACAACATGGTTCAATTCTCTCTACTCGAGAATGAAAGACCATTGGAGTTTCCGAATAACTCCCAAGACTGAGCTCCTGCATTCATTCTAAACAACCTGGAATGTCACCTAGAGATTTTACACTGAAGCTTACATTTACCACTTTGAATCACATACTTTTACTTGTAAATTCACTCATAATAATACTCAATTATATATTATCATACACCCTCAAACACACTTCACAATACATGCAACACTTAACTTAATTCAACTCGAGACAAAGAAATAAAGAGTAGACTAACTCAGACCTTTCGCTCCGCGCACCCTATTCGTAAGGCGAAACCAGAAGTTTTTTGCACAGCGACCTATCTCGCTGTGTGAATTAACTCGCAGAGGTACTAGACCTCAATCCCTCCCATAGCGCCCCCATGTCGCTATGCGAAAGCCCAGACAGAGACTAAACTCCCCAAACACTCGCTGTGCGCCCCTTTTCGCTATTCAAATTAAATTGACAATGGCCCCAGACCACCTCAAGTCTCTAGGCTAAATGATTCGCTATGCGAATTGCTCAAACATAGAGCAGCTCGCAAAGGTCACTCGTTGTGCGAATCCATTTGCATAGTGAGTAGAGCTGTTAAATGAGCCCCTTTAATAAGATTTGGCCCTAACCCATGTGGGTTGGGGCCAAAAAAGCCCACAGGGCCAAAAAAACTTTTTATTAAAAAAGCCCACAGGGCTAAAAACCCCTAAAGCCCTATAGGCCAGGGCCAGCCCATGAGCTTTCCTTTTTACAAAATTTAACGTCTAAAAACATAATATCATCATACAAGTAATACAAATCATATGTATTTTTTATCCGGCTAGTAATAACTTATAACTATAATTGATTCATGTATAATTATATTTTTTACCAATAAAATTAATTTTCTACTTCACAACTGTTTCTATATTAATTAGTTTAATAATAATGCTTTTATACAATTATTCCTTAATTTCAAAATTTTGTTTTGATAATTTTTTCATCTTAATTTTGGTTTCTTAATTCTGGTTTGTAAATTTGACGGTTCAGAGATATCCATATAAAATAGGTTTAAAAGTTAAAAAATTTAATTTAATATGTAAAATTTTGATGGACTAACGAATTTATTTATAGATGGTAATCTATTTTATCACTAGTTTAAATCAATATCATTCGATTAAGATTTGTGATCAAAATTACATTATTTTTAATTGGTGTAAAACATGTTAAAATTTTGACTTAATAACTTTTTAACTTTTTTAATTTTCCAAATTTAATAAAATTAATATTTATTATTTACAAAGTTATATAATTCTTTTAAAAAAAAAATTTATGAAACGTATTATTTAGTCATTTACATCAATTTATATATTTTTATGTCTTTTTCATATATTTTATATTATATTCATTTGTCTTTTTT